TTTTCAAATAAGCATATTGTCAATGGCTGGTTTACTGTATACTGTGTATTAGACCAACCTCGAAAATATTCTGCTACTACGACAAGCTTTTCATATCAAGTATGTAAATATGTATATAGACTAGTAAAATAAATGACGGTTCCAGATTCATCGGCTTCTTGCGAGGGGTCTTTCAGTGTTTTGCGGAAATTGAAAAATCACCTCGGTACACGAATGACCAAAACACATTTTACCTTTGTTGTATTGTTCGAAGTGCTAAACTGTATATGCAAGGAAAGCTCAACGCCGAAAATCTGAAATCACAACAGACGCCAAATTATACTTTTCAACAAACCGACATATGCGTGCGATGGAATCACATTTCTCGCTCAATAAGTTCCGCCGCCGAGAAAGTCGTTGGACAACGCAGGCCAGGGCAACGCAGCGATTGGACGAAACGCGCGCTGTGTCTTTAATCCCACACAGCGCGCGTTTCGTCCGAAAGCGACGTATTTACCGCAATAAGCAGAGAGAGGTCGAAATACGCGAGTGCGAAGACCTTAGAATGGTGGCCGATAGAAAAAATACGCGAAAATTTTACCAGAGAGTTAAACGACTTACTGAAGGTTTGAAGACCAGGGCGAACTCCTGTCATAACAACTATGGCTAGATACGAAATTGTGATTTATGATTAGCGAAATGCACATATTTACATATACATGGGCCTTTAGGAGGTGTAGGCTGCGGTGTTCCAAATTTAGAAGATTATTATTTGAGTTTTCCCACCGAAAATTTGTCTGAACGACATGCAGTGAAATATACAACGAGATTTTAATATTAACCTGTGGAATAATGAAGCTATCCTTGCCTCAAAAGAGGTTTATTTTCGTACGACATAGTAGTTTATTTAAAATGTTAAAGTTATTTTATTAATTTAAAGTTTAAAATTGCTTAAAAAAATNCAAAAGAGGTTTATTTTCGTACGACATAGTAGTTTATTTAAAATGTTAAAGTTATTTTATTAATTTAAAGTTTAAAATTGCTTAAAAAAATAAAAGTTGGTCATGAAGTACATTTAATTTAATCGAATAAAAATTCAAATAATTGATCCGAAGGGGTGAAAATCTATAGATCAATGATTACACTGGATCACAAATTTTAGTTTTTGTTCTGCCACTATGTAGAATAGCTTGCTGATTCCGAAAGTCGAGTAAATATTTTTTCTTGTGGACAAGTTTTCGAGATATTTGCAATTTTTTAATTTGGTTCCACTTTAGAAATTGTACTGAAAATAAAAATAGGCTTTTCGCTTGTAAAAAATATGGATGTTTTTTAAAGCAATATTGAACAGTTTTGAACAAAGTTTTTTCACATTTAACTTCTACAGCATACGGCTCGTTAATGGGAAAAAAAATAAAAATAAGAGTTTTTGTAAACTTTTTTGTGATGAATTCAAGCTACTAAAAAAGATGATCGATAGATAAATAAAACAGTTGTGTGGCAATAGACAGAAAAAAAGGCTTTTGATACTTTTGGTAACATTTTTTCTAAGTGTTTGGCAACCGTGGTCCAGAGCGTGTCTTTATTCTAGAGGCAACACTTGTCACAGTTACTGAATGGTAGCAGCACGGAAAGTTGTGGATAAGACGAACCCGGACACCCAGTCGATGATGATGGAGTCGATTTCCCGCTATCTGACTATGTCGAGGTACGAATAGCAATTACGCGGCTGAAAAACTACAAAGCTGCTGGAGCTGACGGCCTTCCTGAATGCAGAATATGGTCAAATGAAAGGAGTCCCCAAGAAAGGCGAACGCGCCTTAGGCGCCAGCTAACGTGGGATCAGCCTTAGTATATTTCAGAAGGTTTTATCCAGCTTATTGTGTGAAACATTTCAGCCCAGTGCAACGAACTTATGGGCCTAGTCAATGTGGTTTTAGACCTAGCAAAGCTCTCAAAAAGTCGAGGACATGAGTCATAATCTAATTGAATTTTAAAACTAATTTGAGTTCGTAATAATGAATTTACAAAATGGAATACTTACCTTGAATACTTACCTTTAATTGCTTAGGTTGTATTAATTAATATTTCAACGGAAATAAACTATAATTATTTTATTTATTCGCTATGATTTTTTGCAATTCAGCGACAATGTGAGAGAGATCCTTTTTATATTAAGGCAACCATATACTATAGGTTTCTATTTACCTTGGACTGCATCACCAAAAAAAAGTTGCGGTTTTTCCGCCAGGATTAAAAAATTTATTACATTTAAAGACGGTATTAGCTCTTACTGCCAATATAGGAGTATTACATATATGGTTTTATGCAATAAGTAGCATGAATTTAGCAGACGTGCGATTTGACACGTAATCCAAAGAAATTAAGAACATGATAATTATAAATACAGCTTTGAAAGTTTCTGTTGCTGTGCAGCTGTAGGTCGTTTCAGAATAAATTTTCTGCTTAGAACTCGAGCTTACAACTACTTAAAGATATTGAGGTTTTTGCGGTTAAGTATATGAAAAACGGCTTTAATGACTTTTGCTTGCCCTTTCCATTTAATACTATTCTAATACTGATCGTGTAGCACCTTATTTTGCTTCTTTTGGCCTCGGTTCTTTTTGAAATCATACAATTCTCGCGTTTTTTATTTTTCTACGTAATTTTTATTTTCTGAGACTATTTCAGTTAGAAGGAATATAAATTTTAACTAGGGCTCAATAGCACGTTGAATAGCTTACAATGTTGCTTTCAAATGAGCCCTATCTCTAACTAAATATAAAATAATTTTACCTGAAAATTCATTTTGTAACAAGTAATTTTTAAGCAAAAAACAAACCCGACTTCAATCTATATCTATATCTGTGAAAAGTACTTTATTGGATCTTCTGTGTAGAAGGTTTTTCGATTAAAAAACAATTAAAAACATTTTGTTGTTGTTGCAAAAAATTAAGAAAGCCGACGTCACCATTTCACAATTTCATAGTTTTCAGAGCTCGAATCGTAACATACGATAGCGTACCACTCGTCACGTAAAAATACATTTTTCGGATTATGACTTACGTGAACGGACTCTTTGTCCCATTCAGCTTATACTGCCTGACGTATCACGTAATTTTCATTCGTATCGTTTTCGATCCGTGAACGGATGTTACGATTCGAGCCCTGGAGCGTCGGAGTCCATTCGAACGACATGGCCAAGCCAGCGGAGCCGTTGTATTTTGATTTGGTGCACTATGTCTATGTCGTTGTAAAGCTGATACAGCCTAGCGTTCAGCGTAAAGGCCCGTAAATCTTCCGCAAAATCTTTCTCTCGAATAATTCAAGAGCCGGCTCATCGGATGTTGTCATTGTCCATGCTACGGCGCCATATACCAACACGGGCGTGATAACTAACTTATACAGCCCAATTCTGAATACTCCCGGGAGTTTGTTCTTCGGGAATTGGTTTCTACCGAGAAAGAAATCCTCCAATAACTAAGTCCCAGGGAGTAACATTTTCTTCGAATATTCGGGAGGAGGAAATTCGGACTTCGAAATAGCTATTTGATACTTTTTTGACAGCTCAACTCCGCCATTTAATACAAAAAATCCTCAGGGAATTTTTATTCATGATAGGAGGAAAGGGAAAAGAGAGAAATCTCCCAAGGAGTTTCTGTTCAGAATCGGCCTGATAGAGTGTGGTTTTCGTACGTCGAGACAGGACTTTACTCCGAAATTGCCTACTCAGTCCAAAGTAGCACTTGTGGGCAAGAGTGATTCTGCGTTGGATTTCCATGCTGACATTATTATCTGTCTTAATGCTGGTTCCCAAGTAAACGAAAATCTCAACGTTCTACGTTCGCGAATGCGCTGACTGTTTGATGGCAAGTATCGTCTTGTCCTCGTTGATGGCCAAACCCATTCGTTTTGCTTTCTTATCCAAATTGGAAAAGGCAGAACTGACTTAACGGTTCTTGTTACCGATGATGTCGATGTCATTTCGGCAGCATCCAACCCAGCATCAGATTAAAGAAATCGCATGAAAGGAAGCCGCCCTGTCTGAAACCCCGTTTGGCGACAAACGTCTCGGAGAGGTCTTTCCCAATTCTAACGGAGCTGGTGGTATTGCTCAACGTCATTTTACACAGCCGTGTCGGTTTCGCGGGGATGCCAAATTCAGATATCGCGGCGTATAGGTAACCCCTTGAAGTCCTTTTGAAAGCGGCTTTGAAGTCGAAAAATAGGTGGCGAGTGTCTTTTCTCGCGGGTCTTTTCCAAGAGTTGACGTATTGTGTATACCTAGTCTATGGTGGATTTGCCAGGTATAAAACCATACTGGTAAGGTTCAATCAGTTCGTTGACGGTGGGCTTCAGTCTTTCACACAATACGCGTAACCGTAACCGTTGCTTAGAAGGCTGATCCCGCGGTAGTTGGCGCAAATGGCGGGGGCGCCTTTCTTGTGGATTGGGCAGAGCACACTTACATATATTCCGGTCGCCGGGCATGTGTTTATCTGACCATATTCAGCATAAGAGTTAATACATGCACCTTATCAACCCCTCGCCGCCGTACTTGTATAGCTCCGTTGCCAGCTTGTCAGCCCCAGCAGCTTTGTTGTTTGTTGTCATCATCGACTGGGGCCTCGGGTTCGTCTTCTCCACAGCTTTCGCTAAAATTTTTGGGGAAAATAGGAAGATATATTAAGAGGCGAAAAAATCCTTCAGCAAAAGTCGAACACAAAACAAAACAAAGGCACCCAGTGGATTTTTTTTGTTTGTAATGAGCAGTACCAGCATTCTACTGAACTTATTAATTAATTTTTTTTTTTTTAGGTTTATTAAATAATTTTGAATGAATTCATGTTTACAGTTGAAGCCTTACAACTAGTTTGTATTTTTAGAGCGTTGCTAATGCTAAATACATTATTTCAATGCCAATTTTGTTGGACAAAAACAACAAAAAAAAAATAAATATATTTGATGTTAAATTATACTCGCATTTATATTCAAAATAAATTAAAATCATAAGCTGTTATTTGAAAAATTGGTAATGTTGCAAATGCTTCTAGTTCTACAGCTCATACTTATATTTCGTATTCAATTAGTTGTATTTGTAGTATAACGTCGTAATTAAGGGTTTTGTAAGTTCACTCTTCATGCAAAATTAATCAAAGCAAGAGTAAAAAGTTATTTATTTATATTTAGTAAAGTTTACTACATACATTTGCATTATTTTATTGTAAGTATGTAATAATTACAGTTTATATATAAAGTTTATTTTTTTATATTATTTGCTCGGTAATGCACAAATAACATAAATCTTGCTTTCTTTTAGCAAACTTGAGAAAGTTAATAAATTAGGCAGTAACTTAAGTAGTATACAAACATTCATTATATGTATATGATTCAGAGTAAAAACTAATCTAGCAAAAAATAACGGCTTATGCAATATTTCAAAGTAAATAGAAACGTTTAGCAATGGCAGGTAGCAAGTGCAGTAGCAGCAGCGGTTCACTACGACTACACCGCCACTACATCACTGCTGCTACTGCGACTCGACTTGTTGCCTGTCTTTGACTTGATCTCGGTTAACGACACCGAGCCAGGTCCATTGAGGAAATGCATTTTCACATGCTTTTGCAGCTCCTGTTGCGAGTCGAAGAACAATCGACAGAGATCGCAAGAGAAACGTGCTTTGGGCGCTGATCCTCGCGTCTTCGAATCCTGCGAAGAACTATCGCCGCTGTCCGCATCACTATCCCCATCCGAGTCGTTGTCATTGTCATCGTCGTCGTCTTCGTCGTACGACGCCGAAGAGTCTCCGGTCGTATCCGTCGAATTACGAATTGGTTCAATGGTGACTTGTGACGCAACTGGAGGACCGCGCCCATAAGCCCGACCATTCGACGCGGCAACATTGTCGTTTGAATCCGCATTATCTACATCAACATCATCGTCATCGTCTGCGTCGGCATCTTCCTCGCAATCATCGGCTTCGCTCTCATCAACTTCATCCTGTTCTGTTTCATCATTGGCATGCGTGTCAGTCATTGCGACTTGCATAATTTCACCCATATTTTCATATTCCTCATCTTCCTCTTCTTTCTCTGAACCATCCTCTTCGGCGTTTTCTTCAAATTGAGCGTCGCGCCTTCCGCCCTCACCTATTTCTTTTCGTTCCCCTTCATAGTCCACTACTTCGCCATCCACCTCACCATCCTCATCTTCGGATTCCCGCCTCTCTTTAATACCTTCGTTTGACTGTTCTTTTTCATCATCTATTTCGCTCTTCACCACCACTTCTCCATCAACAACAACTTTTTCTGCTGCAGGTGCCGCCGTCGATTTCATAGCCGAGCGATTCTGATTCTGGTCATGAGTCTGTTGTTGATCTTCCACAGGCACTATCTCCTTTTCTTTCAAGTGATTATGTATGTGATTTATTAACTTCTCTTTACGCGAAACATAGGCTCCACATAAATCACAGCCCCACTGGAATGGACCGAACGGTTTGGTTACACGCGCATCTGCAACTTTGTGTTCAATCCAATCAGTTTTCGTTTCGAACTTTTGCTGACAACGACGGCACTGCAGATGGGGATCTGTTTCAATTTTCGGTGGCACAGGCAAGTTACCGATCTCATCTTTATGCAGCTCGTAGATGTGGCGACGCAGGTTGTTGTTGCTAATGAATGTGGAGGGACAGTACTCACATTTAAGTTCGCGTTTGCGTTTCTGGGACCTTGAAGAGTGATGATGGGGATTGGGAATAAGCCCCACTGCTTGTAATCCCAGTGGATGTTGATGGTTGGTCAGGATCTGGGATGATGGGTTCGCTGCATTGGCTGAATGATCCGCGTCGACTTGGTTCTAAGGGAAAAGTAAAATTAGCACAAATATTCACCATAGGGATATATGCAATTAAATTTTATTTATTTTTTGGGACTGGTGCGGAGGACGCGTCGTGAAATGCCGAGTTGTAAATTTTGATGGCTAAAAGATTGGTTCATTGCAACATGTGCGCTTACCGGAGTAGTAATAAAAATCAAAAATCTACAGTTGACTACTTAGATGCAATAAGATCAGAGCGGTTATTGTTATAAACCGAATTACCCCTTCATTATTGTATTTGTATTATGAAAGTATGAACTAACACATTCATATGGGTGTTTCCATGCAGCCGTACGCGACATTCGTACGCTTATGGAGTAACATAAACCTCTCAAAAATAGAAGTTACAGAAAAACAAGATTACGGTTATGTTGCAACCCAAGGGTGCTATGTTTGAGAAATATATAAGCAGCCTCGATACTTTGGTGTGGAAAATATCCGTTCAAAACAAGGTGATAACGTATGCGACAGAAAAAGAAGTGGTATTAAAGCACATATATGCGAAAATCTGCGAATCATGGGAGTTTTTCTTTTCTTTAAAAATTCCTAAACTAAGCTAAATAATGTACTTTTACAATCCTTCCATTTTTTAATAGAAATTATCTCTGGTTAGTTTTTATTATAAAAAAAAAAACATAATAACGTACGCGACAGACTTTTCCCCATAAAATATTTTTACTAGAAACACATACTAAATTAAATTTTTTAATTAATTTTTTCAGTTCTCTCCACCGTTTCGCGTTTTCAAAACCTTTTTCCGCCATCTGAATGCTAAATTTAAAGTTATAAAGCTGTTTGAATTCATTTGCTTGCGTTATCGGTTTACATTTTCATGGAACGACCNGCTAAATTTAAAGTTATAAAGCCGTTTGAATTCATTTGCTTGCGTTATCGGTTTACATTTTCATGGAACGACCCATATGTGTGTTTCTAATACTATAACCTAACTTGTTTCTATATTAGATGAGACATACTATAGAGAAGAAGTGTTCGAAGTCTTCTAAGCACGATAATCACTTGACAAGAGCATATTAACTCAAAAACACTGCACTCTTGCCCTTTTTTCCTTCTAACTACTTTCTCGCTTTCACTATGCCGAACCGACAAAGCGCAATTTTTTTGCATTAAAATTTTGATCGCCAAAACAATGAGACATTTTGCTCCAGCCTCACTGCACTAGCCCAAAAGCTCACCTGTTTGCTATCACCTCTGAAATGCCATTTACGATGCACTTTAAGTGCAGTCATTTGTGTAAACGTTTTATTACACAGATCGCAGGCGTATTCGCCATTGTCATTCACCCGATCCAAGTAGAATTGATTCGGATCCGCTGGACCCGTATCAAACATGGCCGCTAACGGATTATCCGTATATAATTCCATTTCATGCATTTGTATGTGCTTGGAGAACAATTCCTGATCAGTGAAACGTTGTCCACATATTGTGCAAGCTACTTCTGGTAGTTTAATCTTCAGACCGCTCGCCGGTATCGGAGTTATCTCTAGCTCACCGCCACCCAATGCGCTTGTCGTTATAACACCGCTGGCTTCGTGTGATGCATCATCGTCATCGTCATCACCCGTCTTGTGTTTATAGATTGGTGGCGGGCCCGCGCTTTCAGCCACAGCGCCAGTGGCTGTAATTGGCTTGCGATTGCAAGTTGGTATGTGGTTCTCTAACATTTGGCTATCAAAGAAAACCTTTTTGCAGAGCACACATTCAGAGGGTTCTGGGAATTGTGGATGCTTTTTGTAGCGATGCACCTGTGTAAAAGAAATGAAGAAAATATTATAAATAAAAAGGCTCTTGACAATATAATTGCTTTGTATCCAATTACCCATAAGCTCTTTCGTCCGCTGTAAACATTTCCACAATCCTTGCACGAATAATCATTTGAATCGAACTCGTCGTGTGAGTTAATGTGGATTGCTAACTTTTTGTTGGTATTAAAGTTCGATGGGCAATACTTGCATTGGTACCAGTATAGTGGTCCAGTAGCTGAAGTATCCACCGTGCTACGTTCGCCGCCGGCTCCCACACTACTAACCGGCGTCGAGATGCCCGAACGATCAGCGGGATTCGCGGCTGCGATTTTATCGTCAAATGCTTCATCACCACCCTGCTGGTCTGTACCACCATGAACAGTCTTCTTATGCTGTTGAAGCTGATCTTCACTGCGATACACAATCGAACAAATATCACATTCAAATTGCTTGACAATCATCTCGTCTTTGAGCAGCGTATTATGTATTTTGAACATGTGCACCTTCAAGCCCTTCTCGTAAGCGAACTCTGCATCGCACAATTTGCATTTAATAAATTGTACATTGCGTATTTGATGGTCGTTGAGCATGTGGAAACGGTAGGATTTCTTCGATGAGAATCGACGCTGACAGAGACGGCAACGCATGCGTCGGAAACGGCGGTCGGCGGCCTGTTCCAAACTACGCTTAAAGATTGCCTTTTGTACTGCTGTCTGATGCTGCATAGCTGGAGGCGTCGATGGCTTTGAGGGTGGTGCCGGTGTTATAGTGAGCCCGCTTGGTGTCGATTTGCTGGCGCTCACCAGTGCTGGGGACTGGCCACTGTTCTGGTTCGCTGCACTGTGTGAGCGCATATGATTAGAAAGACCTATATTATTGCTGAATACTGCATTGCAAATGGGACACTCTTTCAGGCTGCTATACATGTTACCACTGCCACTGGCATTGCCGGAGCCAGTGCTGGTGGTCACAGCGGCGCCACTTTCTGTGCGCATTTTCTTGGCTGCATTCTCACTAGAATTTTCATCGTCGTCAGCTAGGAATTTTTAGGTAACAAAAAAGTTTAATAATTTAATATACCTCTTACGAACTTAGTTTCAATATGTAATTAAACAGGAGAGTTAAAAGTATATATATCTATTAATAGTTGCGTTCCAGATGCTTCACGATATTCACGATATTGACGATTTGCAGAAACAGCTGTTTTCTCCATTAGAAAAACCTTATGGGAGGTGGTCACCTGGAACGACTTCCTGTAAAAACCTGCAAATCGTGAAGCATCTGGAACGCACCTAGTATAAAATAAACCCTGGCAATGGACCACTTGCCAATCCAAAACTTTATTCTAACAAAAATTTCCTCATGGAATGAAATAATTTGTAAGGGATAACTTTAAATATTGACTTTGACTGGAAATCCATAAATTTAAAGAGTCCCATTAAAATCTAAAAATTTAACATCCTATCTACTTTTGATAATGATCAATTGAATTTGCGACACCTACCGATTGATCCGCCATTCGTTATCGACATTAAATCTTTCATCACATAATCATACCGTCCTGTATAGACATTCTGTGTTGTACCATAGGCAATTTTAACCGCATCCGCATTCACAATATACTCAAAACCAGTATGTCTTGCCTTATCCGCTGCATGAGCACTGACCATGTGTTCACGTAAGTTGGACAAACGTGGATAACCAATACCACACTTTACACACTTGTAGGTCTGCGGCAATTGATCTGGATGCTTGGATTCCATGTGGCGCAGCACATTGTTGTAGTTGTTATATTGCTGATCACATATCGGACAAGCTTGTGGCATGCGCGAGAAATATTGCGATTTTGGCTGTGTTAAAGAGTTGGCGTGATGACTGCTGCGGGACTCGTCGGTGGAGGAAGCACCTAAGTACACAATACAATATCATAAGATTGCCTAAGAATTTTGACCACAATTAACTCACCACCCAAACCAGGCGTCGACTTTTTACCCGGTGAATTCTCCGAGGTCACACTGACATTTAGCCCAGATGTCGACGTCTGTTCGCCAAAGGCGGCCAAATGCTTTTCATATACATGGTCCAAAAATTTCTGATGATTATCGAATTTCGCATCGCATGTCACACAACGTAATGAAACAATGCAATCCATATTATTGTAATGGCGTTTGCGCTCAGCGGGGTCCTCCAGCTCCAAACCGCAATAACAACATTGTTTTTGCATGGTATCTTTGCGTTGCATGTCGGCGTGCTGATCGTAAACATGCGAACGGAATTCCAACTTCAGCCGATACCGTTTCGGACATAATTTGCATTCGTACATTTTATTGACGAGCAACTCCTTGGCACGCAACTTATCAGGCACTGCCGCCGCTGTTGCAGTGACAGCAGCAGCAAAGCTGGAGTCCTTCGCCATCAGCGCATGCAACACTTTATATAAATTGATGCAATTGCGTCGTTTCAAATGCGATATGAACAGCGCTTTCGAGTCATTCAGTTTGAGGCAGTTGAAGCATAGGTTGCGCGGCAATGTTAAGTATTTCTTGCGCATGTGCGCCATGAAATTCTTGTAGGTCGAATATGTTTTATTGCAGCAACGGCAAGTCATATTCTGATACTGGCGCAAAAATTCGTCGTTCTGTTGTAGGAACACGATTTTCTCATCAGTCAAATGATGTTGGTACTTCTCTGGGTGCTCATAGTCGAAACCACCGATTTCGCATTTGTTGAATGCATTCACTATTTCCTGTCGATACTTAAGCGGCGTAATCATGCCAGAAGCGGCTTTCGAAGCCTCGGCCGCAGCTACAGCTGCTGCTGAGGCTCGTTGTAGCTCCAGAGCAGCAGCCAGTGCAGGCGTCGGTTTGGTCACAGGCATGTTATTTGGCGTTGATGTGGACAGTTCGAAAAGATTAGGATGCAGGTTTCGCTCATGACGGCGGGCGTTGGCGCGTGTAGAGAACTTTAGATTGCAGGCGCGACAAGATGCTTCTTTGGTGTCTGCAAGTACCGAAAGTTCAATAGCGGGACGCGGCGGCGGTGGTTCATATTGATAGGACATATGCTCCTGAAAATTATAAAAAAAATCAATTTGTGAGTTATAATGAAGACAGTAAATAAGAGTATAACACTTACCATCAACGCCTCGTCGCCCTCTTCTTCGGTGCGCTCTAAAAAGAGTGTGGGATCAACCATATCGTCCGACTCATCGTGCTGTTTCGCACTGTAGTCATCATCGGGATCCATTGGTTCATCTTTGATTTCCACAGCTGGTAATGGCTGTGAAAGAGAGAGTTAAGAAAATTATAGAATTTAATATCTTGTGTTATAAATATGAAAGTTGAGTATATATTCATTAGGTTATAGTTATATTGTTGAGTTAGATAATGAGTTTTATGACTTAGCTGAAAACAACTAATTTGATGTCGAAAATTCGTTTTAGTAGAGGAAAACTGTTCATATACAGTCTGTTAAAGAAGTAGGATAAAAAGCATTACTAGTTCTTTTATCTGCGATATTGTTGCATCGTGCTAGCTTGCCATCAAAATCCCGAACGGTTATATCTACGGCATTATTAGGAAACAGGTTGCAAGAAAGCCTGTCCCCAATTTGAAGTTGTTTAAAGTGGCATACGGAGGATTTGACGGTGTCTTCCGGCCAGTTTTGCTGGAAGTTTTGTTGAAAGTTTGCCAAGCCATTCTCAATGCTGGGGGAGAAGGACCAGTTTATTAACCGGATTGCGTAATTACGTTCACATTTGACAAAGCCTCTCCTCCTTTCTTGTTTATTAGGCTATTCATAACAGCAGTTTACTTAAAGACCACCGTCATAAAAAAATTTACTTACTATGAAGAAATTACTTTTAGCGTTTCTTTTAGGTTTTATAAAAATTAATTTAAGTCTCATAAGAAAAATTGTCTTTATTGCATCCAAAAGGAGCAAGAAAATGTATACATAGAATATGGTCAAAATTAGAAAGACAACAACTTTTGTATTGAGTATTAGAAGAAATGCTAGCGAAGATAGATAACTGGGAAAAGAAAAGACCTATAAGCTCAAAGGCGAATGGTTTACTTTTACAATGAAGAAGTCTAGCGTTTAAACGGGTGTAAGCTACGTTTCATTAAAGTGGGATTAAATTTAATATATGATAAGAATGGTAGGTGTTGAACCATTTTGCATATCTATACTCTTTGCGGCCTAAACGAACATACATATAAGTATAGTAAACCGCTAAATTTTAGTTAAATCGGAGGACGTTTACAATTTTTGGCGCTTTATATATGGGGGTGTTGTATGTAAACCACGTCGCCTGAATCACTTTGTCTTTATTAGATTTACAATTTAAATTTCTTCCTCGGTCTAAAGGGCTACTAACTAAGGGTCAAAACATAGTGGAGCGGCGAGCAAAGCGAAGAGCTAGCATCGAGCAAAGGTTCAATTACAAATTTGTATGTACGCTTTGCTCTTCACTATGCGCTTTCCCATTGAAACATATGCGTTTGAAATCGACGCTTTGCTCGATGCTCTTTGCTCGCCGCTCCACTATGTTCTTACCCTAAGAAACAAATAAAAATCATGGAATCGCCTGGGCAATACACTTAGGCCATAATCAATTTATGTACGTATGAAACATATATGTAGACATGTGTATGTATATCTAGGTATGCAAAACGTTGTTCTCGATACGTTTACGTTGTTGTACGTGTAACGTCTAAACAAACGCAATTGCTGCGCGGCACTCTGACACGAAGTGGATGCTGCGACAGCAATTGACTGCATTTGTTGTTGCTGTAACTGTGGATGCGACGGCTGCTGCTGATGTTGCTGCAATTGTTGTTGTTGCTGCTGCTGCTGCTGTTCCAGCATTTTTTGTTGTTCCTGCAACAGCTGTTGTCTTTGATACTTTTCCACTTCCGCTTGTACATATTGTTGCAACTCTTTTTGCTGTTGCTGATGGTGCTGCTGCTGCCGCTGGTGCAGCGTAGAGCGGTGGTAATGCCTAGCTCTGCGCAGTGGTGGCTGTGGCAGTGCCAGAGATTGTACGCGTCCGGCACCAGCAGCACCAAGTGAACCAGCTGAAGGCGCAAATTGCCTGCTATACTTCTTAAATGCCCCTGGTTGTTGAAGCAACAATTGTGGTTCATATGGTTGTTGCGATTTTTTTATATGAAACGTAGGTTCTATTGATGCTGATAATAAGTGTTGTTTACTTGTTACAGTTGCAGTAGCAGCAGCAGAAGTAGTAGTAGAAGGAGTACTAGTAGTGGTAGTAGTTGGGGGGTTTTCTTTAGGACTCACATAAACAGTTAAAGATTTGCGTTTCTTCAACGACGAAATGCCATCCAATATCGATGTTGCCAAGCTTGGTGTTTGGTGTTCGCTATCCTCCGATTGCTGTTGCTGTTGGGTAGTGCCATCTGCACTAATCGTTGATATACTGACATTGTTATCAAGCAGCTGTTGTCGTTTATTGGAATCCAACCAACTGCGTTGTTTGCTTTGCGACGCGATGCAGCGATTTTTGAAGCTTTGCCAGGAATTCAGGTAACTGATGCATGCATGACAGATGCGCAGTGATAGATGATCATCGGGATGTATCTGAAACAATAAGATAATAATAAGATTAGTTAAAAGAAATATGCACTGGTAAATATGTATATAAAAATATGCAAGTATTTTAATTCATCTGAAATGAAAACATGTTTTTAAAAAGAAAAAAATGGTAATGTCAGAAAAAGTTAGGTTAGGTAAGGTTGATCCATGAGATCTCACGTTGATCATTAGTTGCTCCTTAGAGCAAGAGACTGGAGGCTTATATCCTCAGTCTCTTGTTGCCTAGTTTTAGTTTTGCTATTATGTAAGTGTGTAAATTCCTTCAGTGAGGAAAGGAAAGCAGAGGACAAGGTAGCTGAGTCACGATCTTCAGGAAGCTGGACGGTAAGACAGGAAATGCTGGAAATGTATTTCCAGTTCTTGAGCTTGAACTCACTCCATCCATGCAAAAATCGGGTCTGTCCCGTCAGTATACGCACTACCACATATATGTATGTATATTAGGATGCCCATCGATTTTTTTTTTAATTTCAAGACCCTACCTTCAAATTTCTTTCCTTTTTGTGAGAAATATTATTGCCTATTTTTATAGATTTTTCAAAAATCATTTAAGAGATCGCGACTTGTCATTTTGGTCAGAAAGTACGGTTTTGTAGATTTATCAGTTTTTGAATGACTAGTTTTCATTCAATTTTAAATATCGAGCATGTTAGAATAGGATTTATAGACCTTTAAAATGATGTGTAATAATATATCGCCAGACCTGGATTGTTGGGAGTTTCCATCGGGCAAATAAAAAACTTATTTTTTTTAATTTTTCAAGTTTTGACCATCATTAATTTCCACAAATTCAAAATATATAGTACTATCTAAAATTAAATATATTTTCAAATAAACTGATACCTCATTTATTGCAATCGCATAAAAATTGTCAAAGTTACGCGACTTTTCTTAAATACGGTCTTGGATTTATATGTGTGTATGTACCGGACTTTGAGATTTTTTGAGCAGTGTGACTAAAGGAATTCCTCAATATTTTTTCAGAATTGATATATACACGGATTGCAAAGTTTTCTCCACAGGAAAACCGTTTTTACCGTCGGGCAGAGCCTATGAAAATCACCGTCCTATAGTTGATGGCTTTTGCACTGTAAGAGAGCAGCAAGATCTTGGCTTTCCTACACGATTTTAACGTTTCTCAAAGGAAGAGGTAGAAGCCTAAAGTGATTCCAAACGATAATTTTTCGCCAGATTTTGTTAGCGTATCAACCAATTAATCCCCTTCAATTTCTTTACGTCTTCGCACCCAGTAATTAACGACTCGCGGATTTCGTTTACTGCCTTAATGGTTGTTGATGAAAATCAGGTCCGAAAGCTTACATGGCTGTTGAAGCTCAAGCAACTCCGTAACTCATTTTAGATCCGTCCATCAAGAAAAGGTAGGTCCATATAGTGACTGGATCGAATTCCTTTCATCCACCCGTGTTGCGTGAGTACAGAATGTAGGCCCCTGCAATCGTACGAATTACATATTTTCAAAGGAAGGAAGATTTTTTGAAATTTTTTTATGAGTTAAGCTTGGCCATCAAGCTGTAATCTGATATCTTCATGTCAAACATTCCAAGTCTGTCTTGTTAAAACTGATTTCGAACCCCACCACCTCTTTTGTCCAGTTGTGATGATTATTTTAATGTCACGGGAGTAAAACATAGTCGATGAACCCAAGTCAGACATCACTGTTAGGCAATACACAAGATTCACAATGGAGTAATAAATGCGACTGAGTCCAGAGCCTCAAATAACACTTACCTCCACTGAAAAATGGTATAAACTACGTAGAGCATGTGGTAGTGTTAAGTGGCTCTGTGGAAGTTAATCCTACTACGCCAACCGAATCTGCGTTGGACCATTGTAGACTGTGATACTACTTATATGGTTTGGCGGTGATGCTCTGTCCAAGTTATTAAAACTGAAATATCCCGGGAAGAAATATCTGAAGACAGGCATATTAAGCAGGTATTACTCCAACATTATTAGAAGATGCCTAGTGGCGGTATCGAGAGACCTGTTTTGATATGTCTTGTCGGTGGTCTACAGCAGACCGGTACATAAGCTTAATAAGTGTCGCGCAAAATCTTTTTATCTTATCCCCATATATTGCCGCCGTGCAAGTTGATAAACTGCTTTCAGGTGCGCGGTTTATATAGAAGGCTGTCAGTCCTTTGAATTTTTTCTCCATCCACTATACTTCGAATCACACTTCATTAGTATACGTGTTGAATGGTGGGCCGTGGGATGTAGATTTAATAGTTAAAATACAACTATATCGGTAATACCAAGGTGGAAATTTAGATTCCTTCCTCATGATTATAATTGTTTTTAACGTGTAGTATACAATTTAAAACTTAATTTTTGCAACATTTTCTTTTAGAATGACTCCAATGTGTCTGTACGCATTATGAATATACAGCGAGTCAAACAAATGACCACATGTTGATGTTTAATATTAAATATTAATGTTTTTCCAGCTAAATGTTTTGGTTATTTTCACAGCTTCAAACTTTATACATAATTTAGAAAAATTCAAATTTTTAATCTGATTCTTAAGGACATTTTTGACTATGCAGTTTTATAGCCCGCGTTGATTTTTGAGAATTTTTTTTGGTGGTGGATTTTTGCACTTTTTTTCCATATAACCAAGAATTTTTAATGGAAAAAAACGTGGGAGACCGTTAGCAACAAAATTTCAGAAAATCAAAGCCAGTTTTTGTACATACATAAATTGCACTTGTTATATAAAAAAACAGGAAACCCAAAAAAATTCTCAAAAATCAACGGGATTTTTCAGCCGTTTGAAACTTGCCCTTCATTAGACTAAAATTGTATGGGCTATAAAACTGCATACCCAAAAATGTTCTAAAGAGTCATATCAAAAAGTTTAAATTTTTATGAAAATTTGTTGAATTTTCCTCAGTTTTGTATAAAGTTTACAGCTGTGATTTATATGGTTTTGGTTAAAAAATGTAGCTCGAAAAACATTACGAATATTAAAAAAATCAACACGTGGCTATTTGTTTGAGTCACTGTATCTATTTAGCTGGAAAACTCAGTTTATGTCAGGACCTCTTGCAGCACCAAAAATGCATAACATACAAATATTAAATTTTTAAGTGGAATGTATCAATAATTTCTAAACATTGATTCACGGAGGACATTAAAATGAAATTTGAAAATGCAACGTTTTATTTAATTGGGAAATTGATTTTAAATTGCTGCCGTAAATTACTCTTACCTCCGGCGACCGGCGGAAGTAGTAGCAGCAGTCAGTTAGGAGCAGGAGCAAGGCCAGAAACAGGAACGGTAGCATATATGTGTACATAGCTCCAAAGCAGTAGTTATAATGAGGCAACAGCAAGGAAAGACCCAACTACAGAAGCGGCTGCTGAGGATGTCAATGACCTTTACTGCTTAACATACTACGGACAATGGAAATATACATATATCTTAGTTGTAGGTATGTTTACTTCTGTGGGTGCGTAAGTCTATGCAACAACACCAAACTTGACCCGCTCTTAAAGCTCATGCCACCCAACTACTTCTAAACAGACAGGGTTTAGTTTAAGTGCCTGTTCGAGTGTGTGTTCGATTATTTTGCAATTAACATATATGTACATATGCATCAGTATATACATACGTGGTATGTACATACATACATATCAACATAGTATGTACATGCATAGAAGTACAAAATGCAATTATGCATGCCGCCCGCAAAGGCAGAAGCCAAGATAAACAAAAACAGTAGCGTGCGATTGGCAACATAAGGAAACCCAAAGGAAAGTGATAAGTGACCAAAAGGATAGTAAATGTCNGCTATAAAGGACTCTTTTATTTCTCAGAAATATCTGGGTAACTGTTATTCGTCGCCACGCTGTACATACATACTAGCCAATTCCCACTTGCTTCGCGGCGCCTAATAAGAACTTTTGCACGCGTAGCATTTTTCTATGATCTTACAACTAAAACATTGGTCCGATGCGTAAGTCCTTATAAGGAAACTCATGAGCACATATGTGCGTTTTCTGTTAAAGGAAGGCTAAGAATCCTCGCTGCCCCACAGGATGAAAAGTTTTCCCGTACATTAGCTAAATAAGTCGTGTGATCGTTCAAGTGAAGCAATTGATATACCTACGGTGATCCTTCCTTGTCAATTCGCCACTTTTACAATTAGTGTTAATATTTATGCACTGGTTTCAGGGTAAATGCAAGATCACATTTAGGGTGCATGAGGGCATCCGACAAAGGTGCACTTACACAATTCACAATTGTGCGGTCTTTCTATGCATACTTAAACCCCATCCTTCATTTAGCCATCAGAAAACAATATGAAATTCTAGAACCGTGACGTCTGAGATTACTTCATTTTTTAGCAGTAACAACAAAAAGTTTTGATTTTTTTTAGCGAAAAACCTTCCACACAGCATATCTAAAAAAGTGCGATGGGTTATGATTGAACACACTTAAATTTAATGTCAAAAAAACTAGGTTTGTGGTTATATCAAGGCGAAATTTTAGGAACGGTGCGGTGCTAACTCTGAATATAAACAACGAAGCTCTGGAAAAAGTTAATACATTCAAATACCTAGGAATAAAGATCGATGATAAACTGAGAAAAAAAATGGATTTTATATTTTCAGTTAGACCTCTAGTAATATGTACATCGGTGATTTCCTAACCTCTTTAGTTTGATGCCAATATTGCAATATTAAATTTATGTTATCAATCAATTTTAAAAAAAAGTTTTCAAGCAGGTGGCAACCTTCCACAAAAATACTTTCAGCTATAAGCCTTTGTAAACCTCTCTCTTCTAATAGTCATATTGCAATATTTACTTTATCGCATCAATATACTTAAACTGAAATTTTCAAACCGGTGACAACTCTCTATTTTTTTCTTTCTATATTGCAAATTAGACCTCTAGCAATACATCGGTGAAAACTGCATTCAATTCTATGCATTAGTTTTCGAGTGATGCGCGTACAAATATACAACCAGACAGACAGACACACAAATTCCTAAAATTGTTGATTTGGCTTCTGTAGCTCTTATAAAAACCCCCC